GCTAGAGTTAGCTGTTTATATCTCCCGAGGAGAGCCAGAGAAAACTAGTTTTGAAATTAGTTTTAGTACGTTGAACTTTTGGAAGTAGTAATACGAATATTTTCCTCATGTTGGACTATTTTCAAAAAATCAACCGTTTTTCACACAAAAATGACTTCCGGACACATCAAAATCAACTTTAAATAGATAACTCGATTAGCTTTAATCAACCATACCGAAGAAAACAAAAATCATTTTCTGTAAGTGGTGAATTTCGCGCATCTTTCATGTCGGGTTCGTTTGCACCAGGATCTTTCAGTCAAGGGTTAGTGAATCGAAGATGAGCGTTACTTGTATTATGAGGCTTTGTGTTGAAGTAAATAGAGTTAGACAGAAGTAAATTCAATCTTGCTTCAGAAGAAAACTACCTAGAATATTTATCTTTTTTTTTAAAATTTTAGTCCAGTTTTTAAAAGCATAAAAATTTACTCCGAAATTGACTTCCTTCCCCCCCTGCCTTCGGTGTATCGGGCGCCCCTGAATGCATCATGGAATAAAATGAAAAAAGAGCCTTAAAACCAAATTCTGTATCAAATAAATGTTACGACTACGATATCTATGGTTCTAACCCTGAATAGTAGGAAAGTAAGTCTACTGGTAGACTCAGATTATTGGGGGCATAATTGGTCAGGAAATAAGCGGTTTTTATCAAGCATGCTCAGGTGAATGAATGAACCTGCCTCATTTAATATCGTCAAGGATTGTTATCTAGTAATAGTGATATGACATATCTCTCGACAGACGGGGTGCGTCACTGGAATAATTAGAGCCTCATCTGCACTTTCCAAATATCAACTTAAAGGTCGGAGAAAAAAGTCTCATATCATCCAAACTGTATTACCATGAAACTGCAATGAACCTTATTCGCGGAAGATCTCCCGCCTCTAGGATCTGTCCGATAAAAATATTTTTAAATTGTGTGTTTGACCTAACTATAACTGATAACGAAAGATGCCGGAAATTCAAAGTTCAAGCGCAGTTTATTTTATATATTTATACATGGTTGAATAGATCCCGTCGAGCTGCATCAGAATATGTATGTTTTAAACTTTGAGAAAAAAATTTTAAGGGTAAAAGTTTTAAAAAACTAAAATTTCTTACAAACTGAAAAATGGCCTAAAACTTTTAGGCAACATTTTTGCTTGTTTTAAAACTTTTAAACTTTAAAACCAGGCAAACATGTCTAAGTTAATAGTCTTTGATAAGTTTGAAATATTTTTCTTATTTTTGTACGTGAAAAACTGAATCAAAAAATATAGTTTCGAATATGAAGAATACGAAGCTCAATTTCATTGTTTTTTCACTGAAAAAGTTTTTTTGTCATATGATATTTGAATGGTGTGGAAACTATATTTTTTGATTCAGTTTCTTATGTACAACAAGAAGAAAAATGTTTCAAGCTTATCAAAAATAATTGACCTAGACTTTACTTGTTTTTAGATTTTAGGCCATCATTGACTCGGCCCCTTCATATTTCTTTAATTTTTAATTTAAACTTTAATTTTTAACCCAACCTATGCTACTTCTCCAAACTTGGATTTTTCCTTCTCCCCAGTAAATTCATAAAAAAACAAAAGAAAAAGAAAAACAAAATCCAAGTTTGAAGAACGACGCATGGGTTTCATTCAGGACCGGGGGGGGGGAAACTAAAGGAAATTACCTTCTCTTTGATAGAGGGGTGATAAAGCCTTTAGTTCCTTATGGGGATATTACCAATAGATTTAAATATTTATACCCCTTACTTTTTGGCTTAAAGGAAACTAAAGGATTTATCACCCCCCTATCAAAGCGAAGGTGATTTCTTTTAGTTCCTTCCGTTCTGTTTTCTTATCTTTTCTTTTTCTTTTGTCTTTTTTATGAATTTACTGGGGAGAAGGAAAAAGAGAAGATAAGGAAAAATCCAAGTTTGAAGAAGTAGCATAGGTTGAGTTTGAAGGGGTTTATATGAAATGGGTTGAAGTAAAGATGTGTATAACCACTTAAGAGATCTATATTTCTATCTACCTACAAAGATAATAATTTGAGTTGTATTTGAGTTTATTCTTGCGAGGATAATACGTACCACTTTTATGAAATCCTAAGCTTTGCTTCGCAAATCCTATCATAACGCTTTAATATTCCTGAGGTTCACTGAATTAATTTTCCTAATCAACTCGAAGGTGTTACAGCTATCGGCCCCCAATATCCATTGGAATAGAAGAAATAAAACAGGACTAAAAGGACTACCATGTACCTTCGCCTCGTTTTCTTGCTGACCTACTCTCGGCAAGATTATGAAAAATTTAGCCGGATGATTATATTCCCAAAAGATTGGATGTTCGGGCAGTTCCTTTCTTTTCGAATCGTTAGGACATTTTATTTGAGGAAATGATCAATATAGTCTGTGCACAGTTAGACCTCGTGGTTCTGTATTGGTTTGGTTGTGATTTCATTTACATTTTATTCATTTCATTTTTACAAAATATATTCCTGCATCAACAAATATTTTATCACTATCCGGTACATATGTCATTATTCGCCCTTGGGTAGTAATTATCTTTGTTAGTTAGCCTATCTCTCCCTCTCATCCACTAAGACACGTCCGGCGATCTCTCAGTGCTATACCACTAGGTCTCTGTTTACTTTTCATCAGCCTTTCGAGGAGTAGGGCACTAACGTTAGCGTTTTAGATCATTAATCTTGTAAATTTTAACTATGGCAACAACCGTTCAGGACAAAATCATTTTGGTCGTATTGAACACCGGTGAAAATCGTTTGGAAATTGAACAGGTTTAAAAATGTCTTAGTTCACAGCGAATAGCAAGATTTGTATCATACGTCTAAGTACACTATAGAAATCTTGGAAGAACGTCTTCGGCAACGTTTATTTTACAATTTAGAAGTGTAAGAATTTCATAGTTCTAGCAAAGAATGCTGAAAAAGATTGCTGCTCAAAAGAGCACGGTTGTTTCCTTTTCTTTTGCTTATAAACAACTTTTTCGTAACTCTCTATGAGCGTATAGCAGCCTCCTGAACATTAAGTGAAAAATTTTGTCACTGAGAAACCACTATAACTTAAGCTGAGAGCTAGTGGTTGCATTATAGGACCGGATCAAGTAAAGAAATAAATTGCATAAAAAAGATTCATTGTCTAGCGTGAAACTTGTACTTGCAAATTTTTTTTCCCATTTAAAAAAAAACCAAAAGACTTCCTGTGTTTTCAGCCAAGGTGCGTTAAAAACAGGTACAAAGTATTCCACAAGGACGCAAAACGAACCGATTTTGTACAAAAAAACGAGAAATGTTTCTTAGTCATTTTTTCAGAGCCAAACTTTTTCCGGAGTAAACTCCACTTTGGCATATGGTAATGTTTTCGAAAAGAATGCCAAAGTTGCTCAAGTCAAATTTTTTCTCTTATGATGCTTAACGTGCCAATGGACGAAAATGGTCAAAATTATTTTTTAGGCACCGTGCTCGAGGCCAATTAAATCTTAGGATTTTATTCTGATAAATTTCTATTATAGAGACCAGGCGCAAAGTATGAGCTCTATCCATGGCGTATTTCACAAGGATACATCTCAATCCCCATCGTACAAAATATTTCAAAAACTGTTTTTCCAGGCGGTTTCTGAGAGGCTTTCTCGGAAATATTCGTCTCAGATCTATGCCAGATGAGATCAGTGATTCATCAGATGGATCTCGTCCAGCTCTATCCAACACTGTATCTTACAAAGATATATGTTACAGCCCAACGTAGAATTGGCTTAATGTCTTCAGGAGCTTTTAAAGACTCAACCAACAAAAAATTCTCCGAATCTATAAATATATAAGGTAATAAGAAAAATCATAATAAGAAAAAAAACTAATATAACTATAGAAATCTTTTAAAGTATAATATTAATGAAACTCAATTTTATCTAACTTTCCTCTGGGAATCTTTCGAGGTTATAAATCGCTTTTTGATCAAAATCCAGCGGGGTCTAGGTTATAGATTATGCTGATTCCGAATATGATTATGGGAGCTGTCCATGGTCGTTCGAAGATCCGGTTTTCTAAAAATCAGTTTTCCAGAAATTTTAAAGGATAACCAAAACCTTTCTTACGGAAAAATAGTTGTAGCCGGCAAATTTCTGGTTAAAATGAGACATCTCCCAGCCCCACACAATCTTTCTTTGCAAAGTTATAGAATTTACAAGAAAAGCCCTAAATCCCCCGAGCAACAGAAAAAGAACTTAATTTAGAGGCTTTCTCGACTCTATAACTTTGCAAAGAAAGGTCGCGTAGAGGTGGAAGATGTCTCATTTTGATCAGAACTTCGTGGGATACAATCGTAACTTATTAAGAGAAAGTTACAATAAAAAGCCCTAAATTGATTTTTTCTTACTTCAGTAGCTTTGAGGATTTAGGGCTTTTTTTGTAAATTCTATAACTTTGCAAAGAAAGGTCGTGTACAGCTGAGAGATGTCTCATTTTTACCAGAAATTTGCCAGCTACATTCATTATCTCTGGGCTACCCGACATTGTACATCATTTAATACAGATACGTACGGTCCGTATTCTCTACTTATTCTATGATAGTATTTTTTCTATAGAGAATTCCATTTGCAAGTCCAATCAAGACAAAACAATAAAGTTGAGTTATTTCTAGCCCTAGTATGAGACGAAATAGTATAGCAGAATTCTGCATGCCTGGAAAGTATAACTTATACTACTGTTCTTCAAAACGTCACTATGATCCATTGAAAGATGCCAGTGAATTTAGAGCCTCTAACAGCAGTAGAGTGTCGATCAGACTCCCATTTGGCCTTCTTCTAACATTTTACTAGCAAAACCTATTCAACTAAGTTGACTATATTCAATATATGCTTGAATAATTATTTTGAGATAAACTGATTAAGAATTAATCTAGTAACGTAGAAATAAAAACATGAAATCTTATGCAGAAAAATAACTACGAGGTTTTAAAATGTAATACATATTTCTTATTCGATTATAGCCTTTTCTGTTGTACATCGGCCAAAGTTTTCTGGAGAATACATTTCTTCAGCTTTAGCTGGTGGAATCACAAATATTCCAGCACATGTTGCACGCATTATGTACCTCCATTCGTATACACCAGGCCATAATAATGATCGAAATGCTTCGACACGTTCATCTCTTAAGTTTTCATGTTCAGGCCAACCAATGGTTGAATATGGTCGAGATCCACAATAATAATCAGCTCCTTTTAATCTTGTTACTGATGATTGTGTATCACCTGACGACGTACCTTTTAATTGTGTATTTAATGATTCACAACCGGCCGGTAAATAATCAACTAATACTACATGATATCGTCGCTGTGTTGTTGTCATTGTTATTATGACTTTAACTTTTTCGCCTAGTTTCAATTTCCATGTGCCATCTGATTGTTTTTGAACATGTGATGAATCACTGACAGCTGCGTATGTTCGTTCAATTTTAAAACCATAATTAACTGCATTTAACTGTAAACTTGATGGAGCATAATTCAATGCAATACGATAATATAATCGACCATTTCCAACTGTTTGCATGATTAGATTTTTATTATCATTAATTGTCTTGAATGATGATGTTAATGACAACATTGCTTTCATTGGAATATTGACCGTGTATGTGTCCGTGGTTCGACCTTCATATTAAGAAGGAAATCAGAGTACTTAAGATATTTCGAAACAATTGCATTAGTATTTGAGGTAGAAATTAACGTTATCAAGCACACAGAGAGTAGAATGGAAATATAGATCATTAGAAGAACATGAAATCCAAAGTATTAAACTTGTTCTAATGTCTTCATGCCTTTAGGTATAATACATTAAAGTCGACACTGTGATTAGACCTTAGCTAATTTTCAATAACTGCAGATACTATTGCACAATGATCTTTTTTGATGACGTTTTTTGTGTAGTTTATGAAGTAGTTAAAAATGGATGCTACACAAAAGTCAGAGAAGATTCTATAACGATCCTTAGCGTGAAAAATTAAGAATATTTGTGAGGTTATTCCTTTCGGAATCGTTTTGCATCAAATGGTTAAAAGCCAAAGAAGAATGTAATTGTTACACATGTTTTATTTCAGCAAATTAACAACTGTATATAGTATATTTTAGCTACAGGAACATCTCTTAGGAAAACAGGGAAAAACACATATTGTACAAGAGAGAGAGAAGAATAGAGATGAAAAATCCCCATGGGAAAAGAGTGAACAGAAAGAGAGAAAGTACATATCATAAAAAGCAGAAGAGTGAATACATATATCAGAAGAACAGAAAGGGAAAATCACCATCGAGTGACGATAAGAATGTATATATTGAAAGATGACTGCTGATATGAGATTTAGTTTATATTTCCTAACATATTACTGGAAGGCTTGGAGGGTGGCTAGAACTAGGTATGTTACAAACCCAAACCCAAACCCGAGCGACTTGGGTGTATTGGGTTTGGGTTTGGATATTGGATACCCAAGTCTGAGACTTGGGTTTGGGTTTGGGTACCCAAGTCTTGGACTTGGGTTTGGGTTTGGGTACCCAAGTCTCGGACTTGGGTTTGGGTATTGGATACCCAAGTCTGAGACTTGGGTTTGGGTTTGGGTACCCAAGTCTAAGACTTGGGTTTGGGTCAGTTGCCAAAGTACATTAATATTCTTCTTCAATAAAACTTAGCAGTAGTAGCTTACGCTCTTCTG